AGGAAGGGAAGCACAATGTAGACCAAGTATCACACCTAGCTCAACCTAGCTGAACTCAAATTCACTTTCCTTTACCTACGGTTATCTAGAAAACTCTACCTGGAACTTGGAGTAACCATGGTAACTGTATTTAAGAATTAATGTCACAGCACGTAACATTACATTCCATCAAAGGCACGATGTTAACTTTCTCATTAAGATGTTTAGAACCACAAGCAGTTCATGAAGTTTGCATAATTCATAAACTAAAATCTAAATCAGAGGAGTTTAATCAAGTTTCTTCATTGTTTTCCCATAAACTTAATTCAACCACATACTGAATATTCAGAGGGTCAACCAGGTGAATTCAATTGTCTTAAATCATTATTTTAATTTTGAATGATTAAGTACTGCTTCTAAAATACAGAATTCAACTCTCATTGTTGATATTCCTTAATTTACTCATAATCAATAGTAATTAAACTTTAAAATTTAAAAGAGACAAAGAAAGGTTTACGAAAAAATTTTAAGGATGTGTGAGTACTGCCTTATAAGCAAATTTCTCCTGATTAGACAAATTGTCTGTATTACTCCAGTGTCTTTTAGAGCCTGGAAGAACGCTCCAATTATTAGTTTCACAGAGAAGCATTGAAAACTGTCAAAATTTAAATATCGACGTCTTACTGCCGTACAGTCCTTCCAAATAAAAAAAAAAGTACTGTCATCAAAAATATTCAGAGAATACTTTTGTACTGTTTCTTTCATATTCTTGCTGTCACGAAACATTCCAAATCTAAAACTTCCACTTTTTCACTGGTAATACACTAAACTTCAAAAACCCTAACATGCTTCAACTCCGATGGAGCACCCATCCTGTACAAACAGTTCAAATCTGCACTTCTTTCACATATTTGCTGTCCGTTTAATTTCCTAACATTAGAATTTCATTCTAAAAATGAACATTCTATGGCCAGATTATAAAACTTTGCTTCTCAAAACATAAGCAGCTTTGGTGTGCTAACTTCCTGAAGTGAACTTATTCTAAGATCAATTGAAAACTCCCTTTTCCTAAAGAAACCCCAATCTATAATTTAAGAAAAATGAGTAATTTTTCCCTGGAAGTCAGTTATGTCGGCAGCAAACGTCAACTGAAAAATCTCTAAAGTAGAACCAATATATAGAATCAAAAATAGACTCTAAAATTTACCAGCGAATGCACCACTTCAAAGTTTTCCATGACTATCACGATGGAAGGTTGACATCATACCACTGTTCAAAACAAACGTGAACAGTGACATGTCGGTCTAAATTTACGATTGTAAAACTTCATTCAAAACTAAATCATTCAATGACTCAAAATTTAAAGCACCAAACTGAATAAATGCAAGAGAAACTTTAAGTAGTGTGTCAATTCATTAGAGTGATTATACCTTTTCTTTCGAATTCATGTGAAAGACAAAAAAATCAATGACTGTAAATTAAAGAAATGAGACTTGGAAGACAAAGACAACCAAAAAAAATCATCAAAACTATCCCAGGAAAAAGCCCATTTGTCCAGTTTGTCAAACAAGAGAATGCACAGACAACATGACTAATTGTGACTAAGAAGCTTAACTGAAAGTAAAAATGGGAAAGACAATCTAAAAAAAAATTCTCTTTCAACAAAAACTGACCAGATCATTAGAGAAAAAACCAGAAAAATTTACATCTCCATCAAGATTTGTGCCTATGACTACTTTTTAAGTGGTTGAATACTTAAGCTAGGAGTGAATATACTGACCTACATGTACATGTAGCTAACTGTAGCACACTTCCTTACAAAAAAAGCTTCTAAAGACATAACTTCAAATTAAATTTATAGTTAACTAGTGAACTAAAAGAGGTGAGAAAATGTTCTTTTACACCGATTACCTAAAAGAAACTTTGTTTTAAGCTGAATGACAGCAAAATTTTTTCTTTGCTTGTGAACTTCACTGTGTATCAATTGGAACAACAAGTGTGATGACAGGTGCGTGATCTCTAAAATGTAAAAAAAAACTACTTTGGCACAAGTTAAGCTGAGTTGTTGAGCACATCTAAACACACTAACATCCACAAAAACATTTCAAACATTTGAAAAATTCAAACGTACATCTATGTTTTGTAGGCTAAGCGCCAGACCAAAAGTTTCTAAGATTCCGATGAATGTGATTGTTTTCTAAATTGCACTAATATTATCATTATATGATTACATCAGGAATATTTCTTCAGTGTGGTGTTGGACCTCCATCTCCATAAAATCATCAACCACTGAGTATTCAAATTAACAACTTTACATGGCACTTCTTGTCCAATCACAGACATGCAATATCAAAAAAACACTAGTTCCAACTGGTCAAAACTGGTTAGAATGGGTTAGCACAAGTTGTTAGCATAAATGCCAAATATGCTTAAATAAAAACTGGATAATTTGGATAAAAAAGAGCAGTTGATAAAAGTATTTCTGAAATTTCAAAACAGCTTCAGAATTATCATGCATAACTGCAATGCTCAAATATCGTTCAGTACAGGGCAATTGTTTTTTTTTTAAATTGTACTGTAATTCTAGCTTCTGCATGACAGAGATTTGTTGAAACTTAACAGTTTTATCATGAAGCTAATACATTTAAAATCATGTTTATTTTCAAATTTATATAATTTCCAGTTTGTGCTGAATACAATAACGTAATAAAGCATATAATTGCAGATTTCTATCCCCCAAAATTGTTTTAAAAGTACTGAATATCTGACTCTTGTAGCTGTCACCCCATTGCAGGCAAGTTGAACTGATTTAAAAATAACAATATATTAGTAAAAACAATTAGTGTCAAATTCTGTAGTAAAAAACGAACCAAACTTTCCCCAACCCCTTTGATAATGTGAAGACAACTGATTTCTTTCAATGAAATTGTATTCCCACGTAACAGGAAAAAGTTGAGTTTGACTGCATAGATAGGAAAACCCTCAAAACCCATTTGGAAGATGGGGAACTAGACTTTTTTTGTACGGACAGGCAAACAGTTGTGGCTTGGCACCAGAGGATATGTATGCAGTATATTCCATTCTTGGGCGTTTTTACACCAACCTTATCTCAACATTTTTAGAAACATAGACAAAAGGTCCCAAAACTCTTTCTTTTTTTTTTGTCAAATTAATTATTTGATATCAATTCTTTGATCAACCATCTCAAGCAACAATCTCCTTGAAATAAGCCTAAATACTGAATTTCCCTCGAAACATCAACAGAAGCCAATCAAGAAAATCAAACAAATCGAGATATGAATACATCATTTAATCAATGAATACATTTACTTTATGAATACATTTGAATAAACTGCATACATAAACTCCATTCTATAGGACAGAACAGACACACTGATGAATGGTGCTTAATAGGCATGCTACAAGAACCGATCAAAGCACAGAAATTTAAAAAAAAATCAACACCAATGTTGTTAATTGAGTAGACCTGTGGTGGTGGACATTTTGTAAGAGCTTAGGGCAGATATTATAAAGAGTTCTGGAAAAGGGAAAGGTGGTGGTGGGGCTGGGTCCTGGGGCAAGAAGGGTCGGTGGGGGGAGGGGTAGGTTTAGGGGTAAGACAAGTTGCGTGTGAAATGGGCTTTCTGAGCTATGGCTATGTCCACTGCCAGGATGTTCCTATGTATTTGTCATGGGCAAAGACCTAGACCTAGCCCTAGACACAAGATATGGACTTGCCCTTAATGGGATGGGGACAGGGGAAAGGAAAAAAAGATAAGGAGAGATTATGGCAAGGGACAGGACACAAGACTGGGGGGCAGTGAGCATGACAGCAAATGCACACAGAAATTAGTGGCTTAGTGGCAAAGTTTAGCTTTGAGGACTTTCACCACTGCACCTGCTTTTGTGTCAGGAAAAACAGGTTTTCAGAATAATGCACAGACAAGATCAGCTCATAGGGAATAGGCAGCATTGTGATCAGAAATGGAAAGTGTTCATGGCTGAGTTGAAGGGAAAGGACTGGGGGTGTTAGACAGGTTGTGGCTGGAACAAAAGAAAACAAGTTACTGGGTAGTGAAGGATAGGAAAACGTGAAGAAGTAAGGTGTGGCAATAGGGAGAGGGCGGGGGTCTAGACTGGCCACCATCTGATACTGGGCTAGGAAAAGACAAGGTGAACATACCACCTAACATGACAACCTACAACCTATAGAACAACTGAATCCTATCCATTAAAGGTAACCCTTTCTTGTTGGTGGCCTTACAGGACAGCACTGACAAACTCCTAATGAATACAAGCCACTGTAATCAGATCATGTGTCAATCAGCGCATCTAGGAAATCACCCCAAAGTCCGTGGAAGGTGTCACAATAAAAATGACTCAATCCTATTTAGATCTCTCTACTTCATACATCACTGCCTTCTACAGAACAGCAAAGATAGGCAAATAGCATTTCTGTGATGTTAGTATGTTTAGAGCAATACCTTACTGTCCAATTCATTATCTCATAATCTAATAGATCACTTCATGTGATCTATGGATGCACCCGTTAGTTTGCCTGAACGCGTACTATTATAGCCAATGATCAGCCTCCAAAATCAGCCCACTCATATTGATCCAATCAAATTACTTAATTTGATCTAATCACTGTTAGGCCCCTAAGCTGCAAATGGACACAATAATGACATTGGAGGGGGGAAGTCATTAAACCCGCAAGAGAATGAATTGGCTGATCACTGGTCAGACTGAGACATGATGAGCCACGATGCGTATCAGCAAAGCCATCTACGCAGACTGACCATTATTGAGAGTTCTTGCGGCACAATGTGCATGACAGCAATTGCATTGATATAATGTCACAGTAGCAAAGCCCATAGCAGCTGGATACTTCTAATGCACACTATGCTATGGAAAGCTGATTTGGTATAATTTACAAGATTGCCGTTGGTAACATGCAAAGAAGGTAACGAGAGGGGATGGTTCAAAAGCTAAAGGCTAAATCAAAGGAACACAGAACAATGTTGAACCTACAGGTACAATCTTATCTGCCCCGAGTTGAAGTACACTCCCTTGCAGCAAAAGAAAGACAGATGGTAGTAAGTTTTCTATGCAGGTTCTAGCAAGAGTTCTGCGTGTACGCAGACAACATACGTGTACATTAAGGAATAAATTTGTTATGTGTACTCAGCATGCTCCGTGTCAAACGCGCCATTGATCTCAATTATAAACACGCGCCAGTGCAGTGAGTACCAAAAAACACGCCTTCTTTTGTACATGCTCAGGGTGGATACTACTCGAGAGTACATCCACAACATGCTAAGGCTACAGGTGTTGAAGAATACATCTATGTAGAGAGCGAAGTTCACTCGGAACATGTGACCGGATCTCATTAAGGAAACACATTGTGGGGAATTCCCTGTTGGTTTGCACGAGTAGGAGCAAATTGAGTTCTTTATTTTGATGTATACATTAGAATCCGTTTGGCATCCTGATGAAAACTGGGTAACATACGGTATGGGTGAAATATGTTGAAGGTTCTCGTTCTCTGGTTATGTGATGTAAGATTCTCTTCAAGGCATTTCGCTCAACAGTCGCTCTCACAACTTGTGCCCTGTTTGATTGGTTCGGCCACAAAGAATGTGATTGCACTAAACCAAGTTGGGTAAAAATGGTCCCTTTTTGGATCACTGCAAAGATAAATCAGAGGGGCAGAGGTACATTGGTGGCATCAACAGCAGACAGGTGATTTGGTTCAACAAAATAATAATAACATTTTCAAATAGATTAAACTTCATGAAACTGGTTACCAGCTAAGATATCACATGATGAATATACTGTTGCGTTTGGCAACTCTGTGTATTTCTGGGTAGCATAAACTTTTTGAGCCAATAATTTCTGCTCTTTGTATAAAACTAGGACCAGATACATGTATGTTGACAATTACAAGTGCATTTCTTAATTAATGAATTTGCATAGCAGAAGCAGTTCAAAACAGAGGATGAAAGAAGTTCACATTTTACCAGCGATTGCTGTAAATGCCAATCCCCCCCCCTACATTTTTATTTCAGATGAAACTTCACAATCAATTTTAAATGTAATAACATCTGATTTCAAATCACCGAACAAATTACATGGGAACCATACTAATGATGCAAATGGTACAATATGTGAAACAGGCACAAATTACATTCATGGTGAGTTGACCTTCAAAATGCATATCTCAATTCCAAGATGCACCTGCAATTTCTGAATGAAAATTAAGTACTTGCATAGAAATGCTTCAATTTGAAACAAAAGGCAACATAACCATGCATAAGTTATAAAAAAAAGTCTGGCAGTTGCAGATTCGTCTCAAAATAAGATGGATTAGTTTGGTCATGATGGTGGTTTTTAAGATGTGATCACTTCAGACAATTATAAAATGAGCGAAAATGGAAAGAGTTGCTCTCCTGAATCATTATCTTGTAAAAGGTTTTTTAAATGTTAAGCTAACCCTACAGCAATAAAATCCCAATGGAAAGTTACATAGTTTGAACAAATAAACAGTTCAAACTACACATAGGACAAAACTAAGTAACTGGGTCATTGTTTAATGGTGTTAATAAGCAGTCATTGGCAATATTATGGACACCGTGAACCATACATTGCCAAGTGATTATTCTGAAGAAAGAAATGTATGGAAAACCAAAGTTATGCACTTTTATGAATATGGCATTTGCTAAAAAAACCAACCTAAAAATTCTGCACTGTTCAGTGGTGAGTACAAGGTGCCAGACTTAAGTGTTACATAAAAGAAATAAGTCTATCGGTGGAGAATTTATCAACAAAATCACTGAAAAGATAAAAAAAATTAAAGTAAAGAAAAGTGAAATGTGAGGGTATTTATACTGACCAAGACAAAGAAAACTAAGTTGGGTAAGTACTGTACAAGTAAACTAGGATTATTCTTTAAAATCTCTCATAACAAAACTATGACAATGTAAAAAACAAAACCTTTGGTTTAAGCCTTTCCTGCTTCTGATTTGGTACTGAAAAAAATCTACCAATTGTTAATTCAGATTCATCTTTCTCCATTCCAAAGCCATATCAAAATCATCCCTCCTAATGAAACTTACTGGATATATGTTTTTGGTTTCGTGAAGAATGTTTCTGTTCATGATGCTTACTGTGTGATGTCATACCATGAGTAAATGTAGCCCTGTAACAAATCCAGATTTTAACGGAAGGAATCTGTTGATTACTGCAGTTACATGTATAAAGCATAGCAACATTGATCCAGCTCACAAGGCAACCAAAATGTAACCAAGTCAATATTTTGCTACATGGACTTGAAATTAATGACCAGCACCACTTGAAGCAACTACACTATCCATGGTTACACTATGAGATTTCTCTTCAAGAAATATTTATTTAAACAGTTAGTTGTTAATTGTGAGAAGTTCTGCGTATAAAATGGAAAACTGTTGACTTTGGTATGCTCATGTAAAATTTGTCTGCCATGTAAAAGCTTTAAATATACTGTGTGAGATTATAAAAATAAAACAAATGAATTCTTTCTTTTGTTTTGAATTTGTTCTGATTTTCTGAAATGGAAATACATGTACATTTCACTTCCAGATCGAACACACAAGATGCTTTTCATGGATACCAATGATATGCAGTCCTTCAAATCTCGCAAATCTAGAAATTTGTTGCCAAATCAGAACAAAAAAATGAGGCGGTCAATCAAAATCTTCAGAGCTGGCCGCTGTTTCACCTGAGAGGGCCGATAACGGGGAAGCTACATCCTGAAGATCTGAGAACAGTCCCGGGGCCTCCGTTACTGCATTTGTCAAAACTATCCCCCCATTCCCCATCGCATGCCTATTAAGCAAACCATTCTCCTCAGTGGATGTACTGCTGTTGCTGTCATCATCACTGGAGGACCCACTATCATCAGCCTTTGCCAGAGGGGCTTCACCCTTGACCTTAGTCATCTGGGCTTCAGCCACCTGGTAGTGGTAGACGCAGCTGTCGTCAGAACTACCCGAGGTGGTGGAGGAAGTTTCTGAATAACGCAGATCTCCCTGAAGAAGGTAGGACTCTTCAGCTAAACCCCTTGTACTGTCGTCATCGTCAGGGGTCGGGTACCCAACTATATCGGGACTGTTTAGTAAGTCATCCAAACTACGACCACTGAATTCTTGCCTGGCAGAGTCGTCACTGTCCGTGCTCTCCATGCTCTCGCGCTTGCTGGAGCTTTTCCGATTGTCAGAGCTTACCAAATTGCTAGAGTTGTTCCAATTGCTAGAGCTTTCTGGACTACCTTTGGAAATTTCAGAGCTCTTGAAGGACTTATCCTGATTATTTGAGCATTCTCGTTTGCTCCTTGAATCAGAAACATGAATTTTCCCTGGCCGCACAATCATCTTTAATTCCGTGACAAAAGTGCCAGGCCGGGTCAATCTCATCTCATTACTTTCAGGTGTTATGACAATTGTGTCCACTGTTTCTGACACTTCATCAGATTTCTGTTGAGGGTTTAAACTCACAATGGGTGGTGGAGGTCTTTCAATAGAGCTGACCTCTTGATTTTCTAACATGCACTCTAAGGTGCTTCTTTGAGTTTCTGCAGTCTCATGTTTAGTGGTCGTCACTGCCTTTACAGTTCTTGACTCACTGAACTCTGACCTTTGTACCTCGGAAAAACCCGACATTTGAACCCCAGCTTCTTTCTTGGTTACCACAGAGGATGTGGTTTGTTGCACACTAACATGGGCATGGTAGCTCGAACTTTGTACCCTTGTGACCCCAGAGCTGTGCCTGAAATCAAACTGGGGTTTTATTTTAGGCTGTTTAGATTCCATCCGTGGGGGTGGGGTTGGGGGAACAGGAGACTTCTCAGCATCCTCAAACTTTCTGGAGTCCACCTTGATTGGTTTAGGTTTAGGGGGCCGTGCAGGAGGGGCAGCTTTGACAACAGGGACTGGCGGGGGAGGCCGCTGGATATCATAGTTGAATGTGTACTTCATGATAGTAGCATGAGGTGGGGAAAGGGGTGACGGACAGGGTGGGGGAGAGTCCGGAGGAGGAGAGAGAGGCAAGGGAGGGGGAGGGGGCAGATCAGGAAGCATGTGGGCAATATTTTTCACTTTCCCAGTACTTGGATTGGAGTGTGCTCGGGGTGGAGGTGGGGGCATCATATCGTCAAAGCTAGTGATCTTGTGAAGCTCGACTGTGGAGATTTTTGGAATGTGTGTTGGGGAATCAACAACCGAGACCTTGGGTGTTGGGGGTGGAGTTGGGGGAGGGGGCATATCATGAAGGCGCTTTAAGTTATGAGATTCTAGAGCAGCTGGTGTTAAGGCTCGGGCAAGATCAGCTTCATCCAAAGGAGCTTGTTTTGTCTGACTGTCATTCTGGGGAGTGATCTTAGCTTCTGCTATTGGCTCTGGAGTATTAGCGTTGATAATATCCTCAGTGAGTGAATCACTGGGAGTAGAGAAAACAGGTGTGTCTCTACAGGGGGATTCGGGGGTTAGCTCAATCTCATTTTGCTGGTCAGTGTCAAATGCAGGGAAAACGGGACTTTCAGTTGAAGTATCAGAGAGCACGTCGTGTTCCATGGCTTTGAGGCTCTTGCGCGTCTCTGCCAGGCTTTCTTCAAGAAGTCGCAGATCGGCTGAGGTCTCGTCAAGGTTCTCTTCAAGATTTGTCAAGTTTTTGTTCGTCTCGCCCAACTTTGCTCCTAAACTACTGTCATCGCTCTCATCACTACTGTCATCAAAGACCAACTGTCTCTCTTTCATGAACGAGGAGTAGTTCTTAGGGTTAGCAGAGTCATCTTCTGGGGTGATATCAAACCCCTTCTGACCCACATCAGATCCCTCCTCATTCAAGAAAGAGTCCAGGCTTCGAGATTCAAAACTGGGAGTGTAAGGCTCGTCTGTTGGACTGGCCAACTCCGCGGCTATCTTCAACACCTCATCGATGGTGTTGCTTAGCCGGATTTCGGTCGAAGCCCGCTCTGTCCTCACAAAATTTAACTCGTCACTAGAGGTGCTTCCATTTGAAGCGGCAGCCTGCATAGACCCTAAGAGCTCTCCGCTGGTCCCACTTCCAACGGACCCCACCTCTGCCTCCACACTCTTAGTAGGGGATTCATCTTCCGGATCGCTTGTCACAGGCATTTGCAAGCTCTCCAGGACCTCAAACTTAGCCCTTGCTTCCCTCATATCAAACTTTTTTCCGGTATCTGGAAACCCCATCCTTTTTGCTCTTCCATTCTCATCAAATTCACTGAGAGTGGGCCCCCCTATCCCTTCAAGGATCTCCAGGTCAAATCCCTCTTCTGTTTGGATCTCATCCTCATACTCAAGCCCCTCCCCATCCTCAATGCTGTGAGAACCCGACGAAGAGCTTGAGCTCCCACTCTCATGTCTCTCTCTCTTGGGGCCCTCTTCTTCTACAAAAGGGTCCTCTAATCTCTCTATTTCATCCGGGAGGTCTAAGATGACCTGCCGTCTCATTTCATAATCAACATCTATATGCAGGCTGCCGCTTGGGATGCTTATGTCAGAGGTGTCAGTGGAATAATTCGTACTCAAACCCTCGTGTCCGTTGTGCTCCCCGTTAATGACCGGCGACTGGACTTCCTTCTCGGGCTGAGGTTCTGGCTGGACCTTAGGCTCCTCCTGGGGTGCTGCTTCCGTCGGGGCTGACTCTGTTGGCAGGATGTGCACTGGTTCACTATCCCCATTCACTTCCGAGCTCGACTGCATTTGTGGGTTGTCTTCATTGACGGTGTACTCATAGGTTATGCTTGAGTTTGACTGGCCCTTTTAAAAAAACATGGGAGAGACGACGGTCAATAAAAGTATTTAAAACAGGTGTACATTGGTGTCTAAAAAGATACTATGACTATCTGCAGGCTAATTTTATAATCTGTCGGATAGACCTAAGTGACCCATACCTTGTGGATGGCTATTCTGGAGTTATCGTGGACAGGAGTGACCGGAGTGGAGGATGGTGTAGTAGGAGAAACAGACGTAGGACTGCTCACGGCATTGTCACCCTGCCCGTTAGCGTAGCTCTGACCGTAGGTGAGATCAGGGGCACTGTGGTGATCAGGAACAATGCTCTCTGTCAGGTTGATGGTGAGTGGCGTGGTGGTACGAGGAGCACCAAGGCTTCGTGTGGAGACACGAGCCAGGCTAGGGCTGAACATAAAAAGAGTAGAGGTAGACAATTAACAACATGAACCTGTTGGTACATGTAAGTCAAGACAAGAGAGAACGTATAAGTATTGCCTTTACTTCAAAAGAAATTTTTTTCATGAGACACTAAGAATATGCCACAATTTTAGCAAAATTAATGCTTTTTGATTCCTACAAATAAACATATGATTTCAAGGAATTTCTTCCACTTCCAAAAACATTCCAAACTTTACATATACATTTCACGATTTATGTGAGTTCATTAATATGCATGTATATCATTGATTTCATACGACCACTATCCACAATCTCTACTCTGCTCTCACCCAAATCCTGGTCTTTGGATATATGTAACTCTCGCATCCTCAACAACCTGCTTCTGTGTTCTCCCACTGCAAGGATAAAACGAGTCAATAAAGTCAAGTTTGCTTCATTCACCTTAAGTCTCTGACCAAGAGTTTTGTATTCAATGCATTCTGATTGGTTCAGAACTGTACATCTTTACAAGTTTGACTTTACTAAGTGCTCTATGAGGATCATCAGACACACTTGGACATTTGATGCACAATATGTGGCAAAAGGGGACCCCATCTATGGCGTCTTCTTTTGTGTTGATGGAATCTTTGGAATTCCTTTCAGGGTTTTTTTATGGGGGGAGGGAGATGTAAGCACATTAGCCTTCTGGTATACAGCTTGCGCATCACATTAGGGGGGTCCCCCTTTGCCACATATCATGCTGGGTATACACTTGGAAGTTCACATGGGCTTACATAGAACATGACACTGCTTTCTGACACAAGGTAAGATTTTGAAAGTCAAGGGAGAGTTCCAAATACGTAGATAATAGAGCTAGACTCAATCGACAAGCAAGGAATGTTGGTTTCTGCTGGTAATGTGCTAGCTCTACTGCATGCAATATTCCAGTAATGTATGAGTCATAAACAAACCCAGATGTTAACCCCTTGACGACGGGGATTTATTTCCGAAAGCCTACTCCAAGAATTCCAGCCTCGCTTGGCCACGAAGGCCACCTGCCAAACCGCAAATTCTCGGTTTGTGGCCCTGCGTGCTCTGCAAGCTTTGAATTAAACAGTGAAAAGGCTCATTGTTCGGTGGCATGCTGCTCTACTCACGCTTCCACATTCCCGTTGCCTCTTTTTAAAGTGGGCGCTATTGTGAAGCTGGTGTTTATAATGCAAATTTGGTCTTTTCATTTCTGGGCTACACACAAAGACCAATTACCACATATACAAGAGCCAGGGTCTGCCCTCTTTCACCGTGTTCGCTTGAGCCTGGGCCGAGAATAATATAGAGAGGTGTGTAATATCAAGCAGCAACTACATGTAAGTGATTCAGACAAGGCCTAAAACTCACCTGTAGCGGAAAGTAGATCCCCTGCTAAGGAGTCTACGACGAGGGCGCCGACCATGTTTTGGTTGTGTCAGCCGGAAGAATGTGTGGTGCTCCACACAGCACTTCCAGAAACGCTTGCAGTCATTACGGGATGTCATCATGAACTCAACGGTACTCCGTGGATAACCCTGGGAAAGAAGACAAGGAAACAATGGTTGAAGGATCAACTTGTCATGCAGTATCAGAACATCTTTCTCAAGAAAGTTGAACCCTTTAAGGTTAGTATCCATACACACTAAGAACAATGTCTAACAAAACAGATGAACACTAACACAAACAGAAACCTAAACAAAGATACAGAACTACAAAAGAATACCATCAATTGGTTATTTAATTTAACAAGAGTGGATTTAACTCAAGGATAACACTTGCAGACGGAACTTTGCTTGTAGGTTTTATAATTATTTTTAGGAGGTAAAGGGAGAACAAATACACATAAAGGTTTGACCAAAGTATTCAAGGGATAGTATGATCCCTTGAGCGTATTAAACACTAACCAGATATATAAAGACTAACACTAAGACAGTAAACCAAAAACAAGTCAAACTTTGTCCTCACACTTACGAATCCCTCCGGATGGAGTTTGACCAGGAAGCGCTTGCGTTTGAAACTCAGTTTGCGGATCTTGGCCCAGGAGAAGGTATTGATGCGACTGTTGTTGTGGAAAACCAGCACACCCTGATGTGAGACAGCCAGGTGCAGCTGTACATTCTCATAGTCGCGGGCTGCATGGAGTTGCACGCCGTACATTTCAAGACGTCGAGCGACATCCAAGAGGTTGAAGTCTGCATCGGCTGGTGTCTGCCCACTGAAGCAGTAACATCCACAGAAATTAAACATGACCAAGTCATAGACATATTAGAATATATGGGGAAATCCCATTATGATGTCTACCGGGGGTCAAAGTGCATCTGAACACTTGAAACCACAAAGGTGTACATTTTAAATAACAGCCTACTGGTAGTTCATAGTTTTTAAGGTTCATCTTGGAAGGAATTAAAACAGAGCTTGTGATCTGGGCAATCAAAGCTCAGTCCTGAAGCAACAGCGGGTTAACAGCAGCAAGGTGATGTTTAGGTAATAGCTGATTTGAATAATTTGTGACTTGAGAAAGAATCACTTGTGATTAATTATTGACTTCTAATGGCTTGATGTACAACTGGGCATCACAAATATGAACACTGTGCCCAAATACCTCAATCAGGCCAAGCGTAATTCTTAGTCAAACCTTCTCAAGCACAGAAAGTCCTGAGAAATCAAAACCAGAAATCTTACTCAACAACTGAACACAAGTCTGGTACCTTAAGCCTCAGACCAAAATACCCAGCATTTTCAATAGCCTGTGATATGCGACACACGCCGAGGAATGTCTCCTACTCACACATGGTTCTTGTGATACTCTTGAATCTTGCTCTCCATGGCACGTGTCTGGTTGGGCACAAACCTGAAGGCACTGATGTACCGTCCATCATCATGGTCTGGGGAGGTATAATCGCCAACCTCAGCTGAGCAAGGACGCAAGGAAAGAAACAAATAACTGAAAAAAAAGTCTTCATTCTCTTGGCCTCCACAGAATAAGCTGAATATTAAAAGTAACTTCAATTTGTGGAACTCATCAAAACTCATGTATTCTAATCGTAGGTCACTGATTATTTGTGATTAAACTATGAGGGCAGATTCATTATCAATGCCTGCAATTTTGTTCAAAATCTATTTGCTGTTATTTTCACTTCACTGGAACGGCTGAACATGAACAACAAGAAATGCAAATCAATGGTTTGTCCCAAATGACTGACAAGATCAACTACAGAATGGGGGATCAACTAAAGCAGAACAAGGTTATCAGTTTTTACTCAAAAATTACTTTAAGGTTAGAGAAGAAATGCTACAGGTACATGTACATCACACTCCTGATTACCTTGCAACATGTAAGAGGCCATGAGAGCAGCGGTGTTCTCAGAGCAGGGAAGCCTACCATTAGCCAGGTCTTTCTTGATTTGCAAGGCATACAGGTACCTGAACAAAGAAAGAGTTGTCAGCAGTGGCTCAAATTTTCTGTGTCTGTAACTGTGACTTTCAGAAACCCAATTGTACGTGAACATGTACCGGCACATGCAGTTCTCCCAAGTTCTTGTTTAAGCAAAGAAATTCCTTGGAATTTTGACTGCATCAAAACAGACACGATCAGCAAAACATCAAGAATCCAATCAGCACAGAACTTTGTCAAGATGACTTGGAGAAGAAAGAAAGCAGAACAATACTAAATACTGGCACATGTACCATGTGTTACTTTTATTAAAACACGTAAACACTTGCTAACAGAATAAATGTCTAATTAAGGAACAATATTCCACACGATATCATGCCATTTTAAGTTTCTAGTCTTCATTTGCCAAGCCATCAACTCACTTGGTGAATTCATCTTGCAGCTGGCTGGGGTCAGCAAGGTAGAATTTTACAGTGAAGTGGAACAACGTCTTCTTAGGAGCTAGAAGACACACACAAAAATGGTATGCAACAATCTAAGTAAGTTAAGATTTTTTGCCTCACTTAACTCGAGCGGATAGAAGTTTATGAAGACAGAATACATGCCTATCAGTACTTAAGTCAGGATGGATGTTTTCCAAGCTTTTCATAGAAGAAATGATCAATCTGATTGTTTTTGATACATGTACATGTACCACAGAAGAATTTTCATTATTGAGTAACGTTCTGATCTGGATTACATTGCTACAAATGCCAAACAAGCTGGAAGCTACAGTAGTGATGCATAATAGCAGTGAAAAATGAAAGGCTGTCTATTTTGAGTCAAATTGCTTCTCTCCTTGGTAAAGGGCAAACTGAATCATGTCCTACAGCTGTAAGTCAGAGAGGAAGTTGGATTGGTGAATCACAGAGACATGGTTGATGTGGTAAATGTTTAGGCTTAAATGTACATGCTTACTTCCAAGGGGATTCAAAGGGTTTTCCTCATGTAAAGTGTAAATTACACTCAGGTATCAGCTGCTTTCCGACGACTTTAGTGTTTGTCCAAAAAAGTAGATGCGGTCAGGAAAATACCCGGCCCCCCAGCAATATCTTGTTGGTACAATAACTGTACCATATTTTACCCTGGTTTTTATTCTTTAATAAGCTGTGAACTTGTATTAATGCGACCAATTAAAGCTGATGACTACGGAAATAAAGCAATCGAGTCAGTACAGGTCCATTTTGTCCAAACTGGCTTTGGGCATGATTCTATACAATGTCATATATTACCCGATAAGTCTGTGACTTTGCTTAACAAGTATGGTCATGTGGATTGTAAGGTGACTTTGTGTAATTTCACTTGAAGAAGTTCTTACTAATCAAACTAAAATCAAAATCCTATGTGCAGGGTTTGCTGTGTTCACGCACAAAGTGTAGGGGCACATACAGTACTTATACAACATTGCACATATAACAGTACAAACCAAGCACTCTGCCAATGTATTCCATTCTCATAAACGGACAGTACCCATAAACATCAACTGTTTATTTGTCTTTCAAGAGCGTTGGAATCCTTGATTACTGACTGGTCCCAATACCAGAGTATCCCTTGCTCTCTGCCGGTAGGATGCGCCATAACAAATGTCTACAGTGCACACACAGGGCACAGCAAGTACTGCGTGTTCTTATGAATGTGGTTACCAAGTCCGCTTAAAGATAACTTCATTATCTCCCTGGAAATGATGACCTACAGAAAATGCTCTGTATCCTCAAGGCAGACACTCTACAATTATATATATCATGTACATTTACATGTATAATTATAATTATTATAAGTAAACATGTACAGTACCTGCATGGCATTAGACTGAAGTGGCATTTAATGAACAGCAAGATCTTCCTTGTGTGCATATACATGTACATGTAAGCACAACGTAATGTTGTCTTTGTGTACATCATTTTTTTTACATGCACATTTGCTTCATAAATCAATTTATCAAAAATGTAAACAAAAGGTACCGTAAGTTTAACAAATTCAACTTGAAAGCTAAAGATGCAGTTCAAACTTTCAAGTCATACAGTCTCTAAGAATTTGTCAAGATTTTCATCAACACACGTATATGTCTACTTTAGCTTTTATCGTTTAAAAAAAGAAAACAAAACTTATATCTTCCTTTTCTGTGACAAAATAAAAACAGAACAATCCCCAGTCTATAATTTCACAAACCCTTCTTTTTATGGTAAACATCTATCAAATTCCTTGCATTCCAATTCTACCCGCTACTGGTACATGTGAACCCAGACGGCAGGAGAGGTAGAGAGGAAACAAACATCCAGATACATCAACAAGGCCTGTCATGGTGATCACCAGTTCCCAGTCTTCAGGGCTGGGGATGGTGACTGACACAGCTGGGTTCCTAATTGGTTGTTTCCAACCCCACACTGATATGAACCGCTGAGCATGATGGGAGGTCGTCGGAGGCAATCCCGCCCATCTTATCATCACCACAAATTACAATGAAATATTTACTGGTTGAAATTCACAAACACATGTGAGTACGTGTACATATGTACCCATGTACATGTACATTGTAGCTGCATGATGCAGACAAGATTTTAACATGAGACAATCTGAATTCCATGAAGTTAATGAAGTTGACGCAAGTGAAGGACTTATGGTATAAATGCCAACCTTGCCAAAGTGGTTCCAATTTTTGATAAGCCACAAGACCAAATTTCATGTCCCATTTTGGGAACTATCAGCCATGAAAAGTAAGCTTTGTGTAATCTCTGGCTGAAAACATACCTGCCACCTGTCTCGCTATTGGCTTCTCCAGGTCCAACCAAACCTGCAAAATATGAAAGAAGGAAAGAAAACATGTTATTTCTCAACCTCACAAAGACCCAATCCACCCGTGTATCAATTAGAAAAAAAGAATGCCAAGGGCCACGTGCAACAAGTAATAAAATACTGACAGCCCGGTTTGGACTGGAGTATAAATCTTGACATCTGATCGAAATGAAAGTTGAAAACATGTAGAAGATCATCACCTTGCACACCTCCATATTTGAGAATCCTAGATTTACGACTACTGTGTTTACGACATGCAGGTATGCATGTACACACAGGACAGGGGGGGCTTATATGTAACTTCAAACCCCTTCTCTGTAGGGGGTGGGAGCGTGCATCCCTAACTTTTAAATATCCCATAATTGCACATCATGCTGACTGTACATGTACATGTATGTACACGTATAATGTACACTCATTTTTAGGATTTTGACACGTATGACAGTACAATCTGGCTGAGATTGGTTTGAATCAAAAGCTCCCTGTCTGCAAAAACTTTGGACAAGCATGAGCTGGTTTGGCTGCAATTGTTGCATTTCAGAAAGGAATGAAACAAACATGAAAGAACCCACAGTTACAAGCTAGCACTTTGTGGGAAGAATTGTGGTTTTCAGCCTGAAACAAATCCTTCTTGACCTATTATTTGTACGTATACAAATGACTGTCATTCAGGGAACTGTCAGGCATTTGGAATTCTATCAAAATGAAACTCCACACTAGTCCCAGCAGCTGATGTTTTAAGCCTTTGTGCATAAAAATGTTCAAAAGGGTAAAGAGAAATATCAAGAAATCAAGGCTGTTTTAATTCTTCCAAATCCTCTCTTGAGTTTTCTCTGAGTAATCATGCATACATGTACACGTACAACATGTTATGTACATGTACATGCCCCAAGACCATGTTATGCGACACAACACACACGATACATATTCGACATTCATGATCCAGTGTACCGGGATATTATAACCATTATGATACCGGTATGTGCCCTATAAACTTGACCTATCCTGGCATCCAACAAAAGGAACCAATCATTCATTGGTTCCCAGCCATTCCATGGTTCCCAGAAGCTGTGCAAATCATGCAGTGCCCTAATGAGATCTTAATCATGTTTACATGTAAAATGTAGAGAAAAAAGTAAAGCCTACTGGCACATGTTTCCAATTTCTATACATGCACATGTAGTGGCACATACATGTACATGTACCGGTACATGTATGTATCTGTAACCCTCTTGCAATTACACTTATAAATACTGGTTTCTGAAGAATTAAGCCCAACCTTTTTGGGGAACGGTACAAGTTTGTAAAACATGCAATTTCAAATGCATGTACATGTACAAAAACTGCTGTTAACTACTTATTAGCTAAATGTGATTTGTAGTATAAACCAAACATGTTATAAGACCTTTCATTTCAAGCCTACAGGTAAAGGTTGTAGAATCTTTCCCAAAAACTGAAAAGGATTGAAAAAGATGATGCTACAAGCAGGACGAAAATGTCAGGCCCTCAAACATTTTCCATAATTTCTACTGTTTTATTCTTCAATTAACTTTAAATGGCTGTGGGTTTGTATCAAGCACAGATACGGCACCGGTAATTTGTGGCTGATTGTTTCATGAAATGATATTCCATACATGTTAACGAAATGTGAAAAATAAACAACATTCTTACAAAACACACTCTATTGACGACTATAATCATGCAGCTATTTTTAATTAATAGCTCCACGCGTGCACAAGTACATGCACACAGACTTGCTCTACTTGCATCCACACATCCTCAGAAAAAAAAATTGAAGACACATCAATCAGCAGGAGACAGTCTTATTTTATGAAGGATAGCACTATGGGCTGGCCCCATGTGAGAAATTACAGACTATCTAACGCCTGATCATAATGAACACAAGACATGCAAACAAGGGGACAAGGGATTCCTGGCCAAACAGCTATTACATGTCTGTTTGGAGTCAAGAGGGTTGGTTGGGGATTAGCATAAACACTGTTAGTCATGCTTCATTTGATCAAGATCTGTACACATGTACTGCACACTACAGGCACAAAGTGTGCAGGTCATTAAGGCAAGTTTTCAGCACACCACTCATCAGGAATTTACCAAAGCCCATTCATGCATACAGTGAATAAACTCTGCTCTTTATGGATCAATGTCTGAATGTTGTAAGCCTATAGAGAAACATCAAGCTACCAGTACACCTGCTAAGTACAATGCACATGTACATGTACATACACGTACCATATCTGACACTTCAAACTCATGAGATACATGTAAATGTATACTGTAAATAATTATTTTGAACAAAACTGGCCTTTCAGTCACAGCAGTATAGTACGGTACACGTACAACTGCACATTAGAAAGAACATTAGACCACATAAAATATTAACTAATTTTATCACTTTTTTAACTAAAATATTTTATATTTGTACATGTAGAGGTGCGAAAATCAGGGCAGTGCTTGTACCAGTAAATGTAACTTAAGTTTCAGGACAAGAATAAATCACTTCATGCTTTCTGCACACAAGGTATTAAATATGGATACTTTGTACACGCACAGTATGTGTGCTTAAATTGAAGTCACCAAAAGAGTCAGAGAATGTGGATCAAGTCAATCGTGACCAACCCACAACTTGACAAGCTCACCGAGGGCTATTTATCTTGGCAAGAGAAATGTGCATGTACAATGTATGAAGCGCCCCACAGAACAGCGAAGACCATCTAAACACCAAACTGCACTTGTCCCATACTATTAATAGGATAACCTGCAGAACACCCAGAAGCAGTATGCGTTAACGCTGACAGCACTGCAGAACAACCAGAAGCAGTACGCGTTAACGCCAACAGCACTGCACAGAAACCTCGCCTTTAGCCAGCAAGCAAACCAGCAAGATATTTTTGATTAGATCCTGGGATTCAGGACTAACCATCTCCTCTCAAGAGACGAAGGGGCTGACTTTCTATGAATCAGAAGTCGCTTTCCCCTCTGGGGGCACAGCTTAATCAAGAATCTAATCCAGAAACCTGATACACATAAGATGCTTCTGCACAATACAGTACAAACTACAAGTACTTGGCATCCATCAAGCAAAAAGCACATATATGTGGATCCCAAACAGTCTTTGTACATGTGCATGCAAAAGATCATTCCAATGGTAATTAGGTTTAATATTAAAATTCTGCACATTTGTATACACTGAGCAATGCTACTCCAACCTGAGCAAGAAGGAAACGTGAATCTTATGTACATGTATGTGTACATGTTATGCACCAGGAACTACTCCTAGCACATGTGTATTTAAGGTGAAGCCTTGCCCCTGGGGAAGGTAAGAAAATTCTATTGGATTTGAAGCTTGAATAATGTTGTAATGTACAGTACAGTACTGTACACTGTACCAGTAATGTACAGTATAAATACATACTGTACAGTACACCTGTATGTACATGCACATGTACAACTTGCCCCATCAGATGCAAAGCCATGTCTAACTTAGTTGACTGTGGCTAGCCCAACACACAGCCCTAAGGGAAATGGTTACAGCTGTTAGCCAATGGCTTTCCACAGGAGTATGTATTTTTTAGCTGTAGCCAAGTAATCTGGACATTGCACAAAGTCCCTTTATCAAATGTCATCAACATTTGTCTGGTATGGTTTCCCAAAACCATGACAGCTACATGTACAAGTATAACAGTGCTGATTCAGGACGAAACAAAGGCAACGCCCTCTTTTTTTCAAAATTCCAAAGCCTTAGTCACACGTGAAAATAAGTGCTGTTAATGTCTCACCACTTTGTCAGTTTTGTTGAAATATTCCAGGCCAAAGTAGTCCATCTCCAGCAGGTTGAGATGTCTGCAACATTCCTTGAACAGATCCGCACCAAGGCATCCATTCTAAGGATGGAAAGACAGACAAGCCATCACCATAAGGGTAAAAATAAAATCAGTGAGAATATGCATGTACTACGGGCCTGAACTTACAAAATGTTTCTCTTTGGAGGTGAAAGACTCAAGAGATTTGAACTTCCAAGTCGACTTAATTTTCAACATGCTGTTTATCAAATTAACACACTCGGTTGTGAATGCTTTCAGGAAATTGTCCAATCAACACTAGTCTACCAGTACTGCAAAAAATGTTGAACTAATTGTGTAAATAGCACGTATCCTGATGGAGTTATTTATGGGGTCTCTGAGCACCAGGACTGTAACTAATTCATTCAGCTTTAAATTATCCTCAACTTAAAGTGTACCATTTCATTAACTTTTAATTACTGCGCTGGGAGATTAGAATTACCACACATTTTAAAGCAAGGTCACTGAACCTTAAATTTATATATTTTCTGTTTGATTTGCTCACTTGTCAAGGCATTAAAGTAAATACGGTACATGGATCTCTAGCTTGTCTGATTCATAATGCCAGTTTACCAAAGGAATAGTTAAAGCCTATTTGATAACAGTCCAATTTAAAGGTGATCATTTACTCAGAGATACAACCTCCAGCCTATTGTAGACATCATAATGTTACATGTACATCAGCACTGTGTACACAGGACATGTACAGTACATGTATGCGTACAAAGTGAGAGTGTAGGTTCATGAATTATTCATGGCATGTGACACACTGATGTTACTTGCGCAGTCGTCAGTTTGACGTTTCATCCTGTGATTCAGTGTCATCTGACATGACAAACAATTAACAGACCAAAAATGGAAACAAAATTATTAAACTGTATCCGCTCACACAACTGTACATGTGTAAAAAAAAAAATTGTTTCACATCATGCATGTACCCCTTCACAAAGCTAAACCCTGTAGGCAAACATGTCCTGTTTGGAGACTCAACATTCAAATAGCTACATTAACTTTCCCTTTCACCACAAGGAAAGAAATAATATCCCCAGTTCTTGGCAAACTCAAAACTTGAACATTTACTTTTTAGTTTACATGTATAACAAATTCCTATGAGCAAAGCTTATCAGTGGAAACCTGTATCTTTTTAGTTACAATGTACATGTATTTTTATACATGTACATTGTATGTCTGTAAGACCATGTGTTTAACACTAATAACAGCTCCATTGGTGAGACTATTAATGTCCATGTTCATACCTTACATGTCACATAACAGCAAACTGGGAGGAATTTCAAGGACTTGACAATATTCTGAGGAATTATGCAAACAAGGTTGACTGCAGAAATATCCCAAATATCTGGTTTCCACAGCAACATATGTGATCTTCAACATGACCTAGAACAGGTGGTGAGCATTTAACTGTCTGGGAATGGGACGGTAGAAATTACTTGCTTCTTGTACTTGATACAATCATTTTGGGGGCTGACGATGGTTAGTTTTATTTTCAGTTTTACAATGCTCAAGAAAACTGACTTCTGAAAATGAAATGCCCCAATCTGTTTAACTCCTGATGAAAGTTAGAGATACACTGAAATATTGTATGGTATATGTACATGTATCACCTATCACTAAGTATGCATTATTAACATACATACATGTAGGTATGGGGTTTACAAAAACTTCTAACTGGTAGGAAAAAAGGAAAGGGTGCAATTTTAGAGCCCGCAATAAAAAGAGTCAAGAAACAAGATTTTTTAGCAGTCATGCAAAACTCCAGCAGTCATCCATCTCTGAGGTACAGCAGGGTTATTAGCAAATTACTGTATAACTTGCTGGCAGTATCCAATGACCAGAAATTGTTTATCTAATAACCTCTTTACATAAACAGCAGCAAAATGAACACTGTTTGGAGTTACCTGCACTTTTAACTGAATTTTAAAAAGGTGTAAATTTTCATAATATTCCAAGTATGGCAGGGCAAGTGACTTTTAGCTGGGAGAGGGACCTGAGTCTTTTTTTCCTTTTTCTTGTTTGTTCAATTGTATGCTTTTGTTTTACATGTACAGTTTATTTGATTTCTGTCCTGATGTGCAGTGTATGTTTGATGCCAATCTCCTGTCACGTCTTTGTGGATAAATAAATCTGTGCATCGTTCTAAATGAACTACAGTGCATGTGTGGTACACGGGGAAAACAATGTCCAAATCTGGCATTCATGGCACACTGCATGGATACAGGGATGTTTCTCTTTTGTATTGGGACATTATGTTCATCTAAACTTCCACAGCCAAAATTCAGCATGAAAAAAAGAAACAGACAGCAGAGCTACTGACAGGGACCTGGCCAACTCTCAAAAAAGAGGGGAAATAAATGAAGTATTCCTCGACATCTAAGAGGTTCCAATCCCTCTCAAGTTTATTTTCCCACTGATAGTAAATTTGATAACTTCATCTTGAAGCCAATATACCATTTGCGAGTTAAATTTGAATAAAATCTGGTATACTGAGTTATCTGATTGCCCATAAACGTAACAATTTGAATTCCCCAGACTAAAGACACTGTTGCTATACCTTGTGATTCGGGGCAAGCTTTTGCATAGCGACTACCATCTCTCGAATGGACTGGTTCCTTTGTGCCCTTCTTGTCCATTTAGAACAGTGTATTGTTGCAAGGCGTCTCTTATGTAACTAAGGAAAAGCTTGTTCCCAATCACGAGGTATAGCAACAGTGGCTTTAGTATGGAGAATTCCAACTGTTATGCTCACGTGAATTTAAAGAACTCAGTGTACCAGATTTTATTCAAATTTAACTCACAAAAAGCTTATTCTTTTTTGGGGAGGGCAATAATAGCCTTACATCAGTTGATGGCTTTTTGGCTTTGCAGTGGTGAAGACAACAAAACTGGATCTGATTACCAGAACATTATATCCCTTGAGCAAACTTGCTCTTGGTATGGATGAAGGTAATGTGTTTGTAAAGCCCAGAATCAGCCCACCTTGATGGTATCAATGGTCACTGGGTTACAGTCACATGTAGCTAGGACATGTGTGGAAGTTCAGCACTTAGTTAGACTAACAAGAAACTGTGTCTTTGCAATAAATGCTTCCCCTCACATGTATATTTATTTCTCATCAATTACAATTCCAAGAAAATGTTAATGAGACTCTGACTTTGGTGCTTTAGTACCCATGTGATCTTATCATTTGAGAACTGCAATAGACAGAACTGTGACTTCTTTGGATATTGCAAGAACACAAGGTCCTTGTGGGACAAAAATCAGCAAAAAAAATCTTCCCATGAACTAAAGCATCGATTACCAATATTTCATTTTGCAACCTTTCCCATGATTTACCCCTGAGAACCATGACACAGTTATTCAATCCCCATTATCCCCACCTGCAGAAACATGTTACACTCTCGCTCCACCCCATAATAACGTTCCACTTTGAGATTTCAATTTGCAATGTGCATCAATAGTTTGCAAGATACAATCCTTGACAAGCAATATGAGCATACATGTACACCTCACACCACTTACTGACGAGGAACATTCATGCAAACAGCAACAGTGTATTCAGGACCCATACACATACAGTACATCTAGTTGAAGAGAAATCACACGCAAATGGTGCCAGATGTATTTCACTGGCCAGACAGATCTATGCAATATAATCTTAAGGTGTATACACATGTCATTCCCTTGGTGATATTGATAACACTGAACGACGATGGTACAATTGAGACAAGCAAACTTTGGCTCTCAGCAAACGACAAATAACAAGCATGGCTCCGCAACAGGTTAAAAAACTTTATGAAAAATGTCACACTTTAGAAATACACAAGTACAGTGTCATATGCAGCAAGGTATGAGACGGAGAGAACCCCCCCTGCTTTGTGTTGGTCATTGTCTGGCAGGAATCTGGGGAATTCCTTTCAGACATCTTGGGGGGGATGTGTTAAGTAACAATAGTCTGGAATGTGTACAGGGATTGGACATGTTGGGGGGGTACCCCTCGGTCTCATTTCTTGCTGGGTACAGTTAGTGTTAGGGTGTTACATGTACATTATCCTGCAAGGCTGCATGGTTCCAAGCCAAAGAAAGAACAAGTTAATCTCTCACAATATGTTTAACAGTACATTAACCCTAACAGTCCTAAATCCTCCAATTTCACTATGATTTTACATACACCCTAGGGAGTTAGGGTTAATACAAGTACATGCTTGTATGTTTTTCAACTTCATACAGAAATGGGTAACAGATTCCCCACACCTCCCTTGTGCTGTGTGCCCTAATCTTTGTTTGCTCTCACTTCTCTTTTTGTCACACTTGTGATATCAAACTAGCTACACAGTCTGCAACTTGTACAAAAGTTTGCCTGAGACTTTTATTCATTTCAAAGCCTTTACTTGTAATGTACATGTACATGCACATGTATTGGTACTTGTACCGGTATGAAGATAGACCAGTCCATCAGGCGAGCACTTCATGCACAATTCCTACAAAACATGTACATGTATCGACAGATGTCTATTTATATTACAAATAATGTACATGCACAGTACATGTAGTACACATGCACATACACTGTGTACCCAGTACCAGCATGTATCATCATGTCTATGCAAGAATTTCTCAAGTATGTCCATGGGCCATTGGCAATGCAATTGTGCAGACTGTGAAAAAAAAATGGTTTATCACCAGAATCGAAACTCTCGTTCAGTATTTTTGCTAATAAAGTAAACCTTACAATACCCCGGTATTCGTACACACGTATACAATGTACATGTACATGGGGAATATGTATGCCAATGTTTGCAATTTTGTCCAAGAACAAAACAACTTCGATGTTGTGAAACACTGACTTGCAAAACGTTATCTGCTATATCATTAAACTTCTGTAAATCTGCAGTAACCTTGCCCAACATTAAAATACTTTTCATACACAGGTGTGCTGTGAGTTTGATCAATAAAATACCAGCAACTTATAATTGAGGGCCTGACATTTCCAGGTATTCTTAGACGAATCTTTGAGAAAGTTTCTAGCAGGATTGAATGTCAGGGGCTCTACCTTTTGAAATTTGTCAATTTCAGGTAAACACATGTACATGTACAGCCAGTAAGCACACGGATGGGTACCAGTATCCTGGTAATTCTCTAAATAATTTGTGAATAAAATAGCTACTTTTATAAAAGTATCTGAAAATTGACTTCTGTATGAAAATATTTTCGAACACACCCCAACAGTAAACTAGGCTTACGGTTTGAATGGCCTGAACTGACAAGACATTCCATTTTCAAGCCAGTTGGGCTCAATGAATTACCAACCTATGTGTCACTCTAGCAATGTCCTGTACAATGTTCCAGTGGCTAATTACTTCCCTGTGTCCATAATGACAGACATTTAATCATTGGTAATGTAATTTTTTCAAGCATGTGCGATTGAATTGATGGAGATCGGTGTTATACAATACAAGCATTCCACTGGTAGACGTTGGTTTCTTTTACATTGAGCATTCAGTAAATCAAATATGAACAATTTGCCAGTGTGAAATTCAGGGATTGGTGTGAATTTCTTTTCAAACTATCTGGGGTTGGATTAAAAGGAATCACACGTGGGTCACTTCAAGAGCAAAAACTTTGATATTGTCTTTATTTAATCAATAGAAGATGATCTACATGTACATGTAATTTTTATAACGATAAAAGTGAACGACATTTATGCACATGTGCATTGTACACGTGTACAAATAGAAAATACACACATGTGCATGTAATGCCCTGTATACAATGCAGATCTAGAAAGAGAAAAATAAACGTAGCATTATAAATTTGAATGTTAACGTACATGTACAGTTTGCAGGAAGGAGGACCTTGGTGTGTACATGTGCATGTACCTTCATCAAAGCAACCTCGGCCTTACAGCTGTAAGTGATGATCAAAGCTCAATGCATCTACTGAGATTGCACAATGTACATGTACCTGAAGTATGGTACTGGTAATGTTCTCACAATGTGACAGTATGTACCGGTACAGTGTGTATGTACTTACATGTACACTGTTCGCTAAGGACAGAGTCATGATCGAACATGTACAAGTAGACTGTGCATGTAGGCCTACCGGTATCTTAGACGTCAAATCTAAATCATTTTGGTGCAAGGGAGGATAATAAGCAATAAGTAATTACTAAAGTAATGAACAATTTCGTTGTTTCCTAAATCATCATCAGGGCTAGAAACATGAGAAAAGGGAAACAAATTTGGTGTTTAGATTTAAGATTTCTACTCTGGCAGGCACACACTGTACATCATTTTACACTGAAGAAAAAATTCAAGGTGTACTACCAGAAGTGCAAAATATGATTTGGGGGGATAAACAGGTAGACGTTAGTATCTTTTCATCCATAATGCAGCAGGTGACATGCAAAGACGGGAGCAGCACAATGAATAAGTCTAATGTTTACCAAAACACAAAAGGCAATACATGTAGGCTTTCCTATACACAAAGCTGCTGATTCCCTCAAACCATACCACGGGTGCGCTTGGCCTGCTGAATTCACCCTAGCACAATACAAGACTCAAGTTTATTATGTACACAGACCCTTCATGAAAGACTTGGATATCCACAGAAACCCTCCTGGCATTGAGCCGGCTCACACTTTGGCAGGGGTGAACCAGGGTTACGATCTGCGCGCCAGGGAAGGCTGAAGTTGCAAGCCATTTCTCTGGAGCCCACTGGGTAGGATATCAACTTGCTACAGCGCAGTATGGCTCTGCTAGGCGGTACTCCTACAGTATGTTGACAACATATTGGACTTGGGCTTTTACATCAAAATAATGCTTTTTCTTCTTGATAACTTCTGAATTATGAATCACAGTGTTTCAGACAGTCACAAAAAGTATGAGTCATTATTAAGCATACACATGAAACAAGGTCAAGAAATTGATAAATACACTGAAACTACATGTATTTATGCATGCACATGCATGGAACAGCAATAAGTAATGTACTGACAAACTATCCAAGTTGTACATGAACTGTACCGGTATGTAAACCAATTCTGTGTGTACCGTTCTTTTGTACATGTACAAGCAGTTGCAACCTTAGTATCCAGATAGCCTTTAGGTTGCCTGTCATGTTACAGTGTATTTTCCAAATGGGCCTTTTTCTTGTCGAGATCTCCCACTGCACTTTACTGAAGCAACAGGATTTTTTTGGAGGGGGGGTGGAGGTGCTTTGTTTCGCATTGTTGTAGTTGGGAAACTTTTGTTTTTCATCACTTCACTTGTTGGTGATTTTGCTTACTTAGGTCTTCTGCACCTCTTGCAGCTTGATAAATTTTAACCTGAGCGTAAAAACTGCGAAGCGTGTATGCAGATACATACATGTAGCTAAAGAGTCCTCTTACATGAGTCATGAGCACTACAGACAGACAAAAAGGAACTGATGAGGTCGCCCAAGAGGTCAATACCCAACCATGGCAACAACATCAACCAATCATCACCTTCCGTCTAGAAATACCAGCATGAGTAATTTGCAAAGAGGTTATTATTGGGGCTATGCTAGAGGAAAGCTTGAATTAGGGGGCTTAGGGACAACCCAGTACCAGCAATTGTGAATAACTGACAGTCTTAATCCTATTCTCTTTTCAAACCTTGGAATGCCTGACAGAAACACATAAAGTACATGCACATGTTTACTGGTGCCCTCGGCCCGAAACCTGGGAGCGAGCAACACACGCTACACATGTATATGTGTGAGTACCAGTACGAATGGGTAGGCCTTTGCAGCATGACAGGGACAATTTCTTTTGCTAGGAAAGTTTGGAACCACATTTTGGGGAAAACAATTTATCTCCAAAACTGTTTTGGTCCCCATAATATACGGTATGTTCGTTTCTACACAAATGCTGGCTGTGTCACATACATGTATGTGTTGTACACACAGACATGAATAAAATCCAATCAACTTTTTTCAAAACCTCCTACTGCCACGTTTCCTCAGCAAACCAACAACCAACACGATTTCCTGAGCATCACTGATCGTGGTATTTATTGCGGAAATTACCCTGACCTAGTTTGGCTAATATTACTTCCAAACAGTAAACAACATTTCATACCAGGAAAACACATCTATTACAATGTGTACTGCAAAATCCTAATAATAAAATCATGTTATAATTTTAATGACCACAGAGCATATTTTAACATATTGGAATCAGGCAAAATATTACGAAAAAGAACTCAACAAGCTGTCTGAACCCAAATGCGCGTGTATATGTACATATATCATCTGTCCAAACAAAAGTCAAAAATTCAGCTGTCAATCTGTGGTCACACATCTCTCATTTTGCTCCATTACATATATAAATGTACGTCACTGCCATACACATCCAAGTTGTTGCAAAAACTCAATCACTCAATACCAAGACACATAAGCCCGTGGTATATGCTCTATATTAGGCAACAACAAATGGGAAATGTGCATTCATGCAGGTAAGTCAATAGATTTCACCGGTACTGTTCATATTTTTGGCCTCTGTGGCCTTTTAATAATTCAATTATTGCAGCAAGACCCACACAAACATTTCTGCATTCACACGTACTGCTATCATGGTTGTACCAGTACGTGGACACTGTATATGTACAGTATGTAAATGTTTATGTAGGAGCATTTCAAGCTCTTTATTGGGTAAACATGCACTAGTGCTTTTATACTAATGGAGTGAATAATTACAAGCATGTAAACGAAATTTGGACCTTCAATGACTGAGACTTTGAGGCATCATTATTTACTGGAGGTATTAAACAACCATTGTGCCCCCAAAAAATGAAAAGATGATCAGATGGTTTCCACAGGAAGTGTCGGTACAATTCTTCTACTGATATTTCAACTTCTTATTAATCCACAGTCTTTGTCAATTTGCTGTCAAGATCACAAGGTTTTTCAAATTACAATTGATTTAATGATACTTACTGGCACATGTAGTGCGATGACCGAATCGTCTAGCATTTGGACTTTGAGTGGAACGAGTTTACCCCCCTTACGCACCGACGCTCGAGCCGTGCTGTCTCTCATCAGGGATGGGTGCTCAGAGGTCCTGTCTGCCGTGCTGTAGGAATGAGTCGGGGTACCAGTCGGTGTGTAGTTGTAGCCATAGGGGAATGAGGCTTCTCGGTCATTAAGCTGGTCTTGACTACTGCCTGCATAGGTGTGGTTACCGCCAGACACCTGTGACAAGGCAGCCATTGAGTCATTGCCACTGCCATACTGGGGGCCCTCGGCCATGACGTGGGTATTCATGCTTTAGATGGTTGGGTCAGCGTTGCAGGGCGTACATGCACGAATCCAATGGGGGTTATTCGAGGTCAAAGTCCAGCACGTGGCATCATTTGTTTATGCACCAGCAGCTCAGTCCTTCCTAGAAAATACAAGCAATTAGTAATTTTGAATAGACTTCACTGGTATGGTTCAATTTTTTTCTAGTTACTGTATATAAATGAAATTTTATGCACAACCTTTCACATTCAAGGAAAAAATACAAGTACATGCACAATTACAACTTACACATTTCTGCGCACACTGTGTTACTGCTTCATAACAAAGCCCAGTAAGGCTTCTCAAACGGAAAAGTTTTAAAAGACACTTTATAATACATGTAGATGTCTGGACCAAGCCCGTCTGTGTTTAGATATTCAGCCTTCGGTATATTATTTGCCCAGCACTGTTACAACATAAACATGCACTTTGTTCCATTATTATTGAGTTTCTTTTGTTCACCCACTATACAAACTAACCAACGGAAGAAAGGATTTCTAGGGAATACAAGCACTTGGGCATAAGCATACACCAGAGACTTGCACAAATCCCTGACACTGATTTAGTTTCTAGGCCGTAATCGTAGCTTGTTATTGTGGTATTACTTGTATCAATGCCATTTGAGGCAGGATGTGGTGCAAAGAATACTGTGGAAACTGCCCTCATTTGCACAAATAACTTTATTGCTGTACGATACTTTGATAAGGGAATGAGAACCTGTCATGCCTGCTTGCCACCCTGACCCCGTGGATGTTGTTCACTTACCATGCTTACTACATGTATTATGAACACCGTGTAATCCGTAAATTTTATGCAAAATAAAATACATGTATAAGATCTTTGATTTACGTGTTGAAAATGCCACGCTGTTTTTCTCGATTTTTCACAAAGCAGTTGACTCAAATATGAAACAAGTCAGTGGAATGTAAGTTGCAGGGGAATATTATATACAGCCAATCAGCCAATCTTGTGAATTTACGACAAAAGACAATGGTGTTCACTACCTTTAATGCAATGCCTAATTCATAGTAAGAATGGAAGCTACAGGTAATTCAGGACAAAGCAAGCTTTTCTTTTTTTCACAGCTACAATAAATTTATATGAAAGAGATACATATACATGTACCTCTCCATCCATTTCCTCAAGTGGTTCCTGCAAACATAAGACGTACATGTTGTAGCATTGTTGGCAAGCTTTACAAAATTCCCCCCAAACATGTACAAATACATGTACATGTAAAAACAATAATGCCTGAGAACTACTTACATGTACAGGTGGTCTACTGTGCCTGAGTGCTAAAATTGTATGTAAGGTGTATGCCAACTTAAAGACACCAGCACACGATCCGAAGGAGAATTATCAGATTAGTTTTGATAAAAATTTTAAAATTCCACCCTGTCTTTACTTAGGATAATAGTCAATTTTTTGTAAAAGTTTGAACTGCTGCAAACAATGTACACTGCAAGCAACAGATGGTGTGGGTGATTTCAGAGCAGTGACCCAATCCATTGTCTTCAACTGATTGTTACCCTGAGTACAAAGGCCAATGGAGGGATTACAGATTCAATGGAGATGACGAGGCCTGTACATGTACAGGCATGTGCATGTACATTGTACATGTAGGAAACCAAATACTGTGCACATTGAGTACAGTTGCAGGTTGAAATTGTGAAGGTGACCTTTGCCGATTTCACAAGCATTAGGGCGGCAGTGGAATCTCAGAGGTTTGGAGATTCATCTGAGGTACATACTGTTCATGTACATAGCCAAAACAGGCACTTTGAAAAGATTCAACACAGATACAATGAAACAAATCATGATCGCCGTTTACATGGAACCATGGCACTGGAAGTTAACATGCAACTTCAGAGATCATCCAATGGGAGCCTGCAAATCGTGGTGCGTCTGCCTTTGTTGTGACGAAGTCACTTACGAACTGGATAAAGAAGAGTCATCTTGGGTAGCAAACAAGTATCATCTTGTTTGAAACCCTGATGATAAAGGGAATGATTCCCTCTACCTGGACTACAAATAAATGGTTTCTGGATAAACACAGCGGGGTGGTGCTTCCTCCAAGGCTCCAAGGAGAGTCATTATGAGTCATGTATATATTCTTGGTATTCCTGGATAAGTTGGGACAACCTAAGATCACACTGCTCTTTGCTGAGATCGCCCACACATCCCGGCACTATGCATGTGCTATATATGTACCGGCTACGGTACATGATGCACCATACATGTACATGTACATCTACAGCCTTACGGCCTTTTCCATCTAGACCATAGCCTTCACGGATACTGCCCACACACTGTGCTCTAGGATGATTTTGGACACCAGCTGTCACAGAATTATTGGTGCACAAACTGTTTAGGCCTGAGCTATAGAAGATTTCAGCTTCATGTACCGGTAACTGTACACATCCAAAGGCTAACTTTTACAATAATCCATATCAATTAGCTCAGTAACTGTTCTCACAATAGCACGGGGTAAAGGAATCATTCTCTTTTATCCAAGATAAGTATCTAAGGCTTAGATATAGGCCATGCTACTGCTGTGCCAAACTCAAATAATCCAATTTTTTGTTCGGCAGGGCAATAGCACGACATTGAGTGCAATTTGGCTAAGCATATTGAATTTGGCACAGCAAGCCCTATAGCTTGACAAGGTACACTGCGCTATCATCGTTCCAAATGGCAGTGACACAATGCTGCTCTGTATAAGTTTGACAGTTAGCACAACTGCCACACTATTGCCACACTCATTTGAATTATGTTTCACACGGCAGTAGTACAGCGTCTAGTCTTGGCCTTAGAACCTGACAAATGACAACAATGCTCTTCTTCCCTTCTGATCAGAACTAAAAATTCATGTACATGTACAGTAGTACAAACATGACAAATCCCAGTAAAAGAATAGTTTTGCCGAGAGGAGACCTTTTCTAAATTTTAGATGGGTAGATTTTTTAAAATCTTTTGCTGACACTATTTTACATCTAGAGTAAAGGAGCTTTCAATCATATAAGTTAATACCATTTTTCCAATTTGCATTTGTCCAGTTTTTGTTAGAAATAAAAAGTAAACATTTAACCAGAAAAAAAATACAAAATGAGGATGGGAAATGCTGGTGCATCAGTCTGGCCTAAGAGGATTTTTCTTTAGTCCATTTTTTAATCCTATGTTTACATGTACTTTCTACAGAAGTGGTTTAGAAGGGCCTAGATTAAAGTCACCTAACGTCCATGATGGTATAGTCTCCAGGTCCCTTATTTTACCGTGACCTGGATATGGACAGCCATGTACATGTATGTAGGCCTACTGTATATCATACATGTACTGTGAAAACCATCTGACTGACAGTGAAGTAACAGGAGACCTGGCGACTATACGGTCATGACGGTCACAGACATTAGCAATTTTTATAACAATAATGTAAGCAACTGCAACACAGACATGTTTTATTCATGCCCGTTAGTTCAAGTTCTTTGGTAATCGGGAAATAGCGAACACAAGGTTAACATGGCATGCATGGCATGACATCATCCCCTACCCACAGAACTGTGGGGTCCGACATGTCCGACGTCCTACTCCTCTCCCAGGAACCCCACAGAAAAAGAGCCTTTTTCCCATAGACTATGCATGACGTTAACAGGGCATGAACAGCAATTCCATTCGAGTTATGAACCCATAGAAATATTGCTTCATTTACCCCAAAATAAATAAATAAATTAATTAATAATGAGAGTCCTGTGATTGGTCAGTGTGACCCCCAGCACGCCGCAGCCACCTGCCATTTCAACCAGCACGGCTAAGAATTGCACATACACGTAGGGAAAGTGGCTGTAGCCAATGTCTAGTGTATTGATCACAGCCATAGTCAACCATTTGGTCGTGGCTCGTCTTCGCAAGTCCGCATGTGAACCGCATGACTCTCAGACACTGATCAGGAAATATTTGCACCTTTTTTTTGTAAAAAGGCATGGTTTTGGCCCTTTCCTTTCTTGGTACTCAAAACAATGGTACGTTGGGACTGTTAGCTATCTTACATAAAAATTGGGGGGAAATGAAGCAACATTTCTACGGGTGCACAACTCGAATGGAATCGCTGTTCATGCCCTGCTAAAGATCATGCATAGCCTATGGCAAAAAAGGCTCTTTTTCTGTGGGGTTCGTGGGAGAGGAGCGGACGTCGGACCACACAGTTCTCGGGGTAATCATCCCCATGATGAAACAGAAATAGCTCAAGTGTCGGAAATCCAAGCCTACCAATTCCATTACGCAGTAACATTTGTTTTACACTGTGGGCCATGCAAAACTGCTCAACGGTGCCCTCGCACAAAACATCTCTCAATCTCCAAAAGGTACATATAAATTATAACAATGGTCAATGTATTATTATGTAACAACTAACACTCAACACTTACCACTTCAAAATCTTGCTGGAAAATGATTTTATGATTTGATAATAATGTCCGAACTGGCAAATTTTTACCTCAAATCCATCGCACAAAGTTCTCACCCCGATCGGATTCACACGTACAAAATATACGTATCGCGGTGGTACGCCCAAATCGAGCCCAATATCATTTGTGGTACAAGGCAACTCGAGTTACAAAGAAGCCCCATTAGGCGTCATCAAGCCCAAAAAGATTTACGTGCCTGGCTTGTCAATTAAACTGAGCCAGTAGCGTCTTTGTGCTTACTCCCCTAATTGTCTCTTTTTAACCAATCGAACTACACATTTGCGAGACTTGAACAAAGTTGTATTCAAAACAATATACATAAAGATATTTTAGAATTCTAGGTTTTTATGAATTTTGTGCACATTTTATTCATTTATAGTTTAATTTTTTAAATCTTACTTGCAAAAAATATAGAGTATCCAAACTTAAAGCAGCGATTTTCGCAACAAGATAACAGTATGGTGCCGCCCGTTGAAGAAGTTTGAACTGGATCAATAATACAGAGTTCGAGGAGCCATACAAAATTTTTGCAGTGCAGCCGGTCTCAGGGATCTGCATCCGAATCTCTTGTCTAGAGCTGGGTCTAGGTCTTCAATCATTGTAAATGCACGTGGAGACGCGTAGATAATTGACCTAGCCGTAGCTCTGGAAGCCCCTTTTCGGACACCGCCTAAGTCAGCCTTTTTTTAGGCTTGTCGATGCAGGTGGGACATTGTTTTCACATCGTTTGCGTGCGTGGTGAAGTTTCGCAGTTCCGTTCGTCGAAACATATTAAATTTATTTTGAGATCAGAATCTGTGGCGGCAGTATATGCAGCAGTAAAATTGAGGCGTGACCTTCGTCAGAAGTTTTCAGTCATAATGTTGCAGTAGGTCCTAACCCAAACATGCTTAAAAAAATAAACCTTTTCGACGTTCGCAATGCATTATGGGTGTCCCCTCCTCCATGGGGTTTCGAGTCAACTCGGACCCAAA